TCCCCGACACCCCCCCAGGTTGCTTTCAACCGCCCTGCTCGCTTGCTGGCAGCTTTCAGTGGACCTGGAGTGCGTTCCTCCCACAGTCTAGCTTTCAGGGGACCTGGAGTGCACTCCTCCCACAGTCGAGCCGACAGTAAGTTGGGAAGCAAACAAAGAACAAGGCAGCAGCAGGAGAAACTCAGGAGCCTGGAAGATGCTGAGCAAACAGGCCCCAGGCCACCACCGTGGAGGCGAGGCGGAGCCCTCTGCGAGAACTGGGGCCCCTACGGGCGAGGCCTGACAGACCCTGTACCCGGAGGCTGCCCTTCTCCCTGAGAGACAACGCCACTGGCCTGCCAAGTTCTTGTGACTGTCACATGAGACCGTGCATGGCAGCATCTACAGCGCCAGACACGCAGTACTAAAGGATTTTTAGATAAACCGACGGCCAGAGACACTCACCCTGCCCCCTCCTGGGATTAAATGACAGCACCTACCTCTTACTGAGTTAGCACCCCCCGCCGCTGGCCCCCATGCTAAGTGCCTGACACACCTCCCTGACTTCCTGCAACGCCCCAGCAGGAAGCATTTATTCCCGTGACTGAATAGCAATCTGAGGACCAGAGGTTAAATACCTTGGTCACGTGACACTAGAGTGTGACAGCCACAACTCACTCTCAGCTCTGACTTCAGAGCCAACGTTCCCGCCACTGTGCTATACACCCCGGTGACACCTTAAAGGTCACTCAAAGCCCTTCAGAGATCAGAACCGTCTCTGAGAGGCACCTGGGACGTGAAAGGCCCCACAGAAACCAGAGGGTGACGTTTAATTCCCTTTCCTGGCTGAAGGCAGGTTAGGGACCTCAGCCTAAGACCAGGTGCCACCTGGAGAGGCTGGCTTCTGGCTCTGGCCCCATCAGGCCTGTTCCCAGCGCCTAGCTCAGAAGAAACGGCCGCTGGTCTGCGGTCCCAGCCACAGAGGGGGAGAGAGGTCGGCAACCAGCCCTGAGCATGGAGACCATGGAGGGCAGCCAGACCCGGCAAAGCTCCTGCAGAGACCCCATCGGCACGGTGACTGGGCGTCCTGCCGAGCCGCGGGCTCTGGCGATCCAGGCAGGACATTCTGGTGCTCAGGCAGCCAGGAGGAGTGCAAAGGACAACGGGGAACGGAGAGATGCAGGAGGAGACCTCCCAAGGGAGCCTGGGCAGGAGACAGGGGTGGAAAGAGGTCAGTACTAGGAAAGACACCGGCCTGGCTGACAGCGACGGGGAACGTCACGAGAGGGGCCCCAGGGCCAGGCCAGGAAAGTGGAGCGTGAGGCGCCGCAGCCGGGGCCCCGGGCTCTGGGCTCGGTTCTGCCACCAACTGTGGCTCCGGCTAGAGCCGGTGACCCCTCTGAGCCGTGATTTCCTGGCCCCCACGGCGGAATAACCCGCTTCGTCACAGGCGGTGTGAGGTCCAGACAGGATCAGGGGCACAAAAGCACTTTGTCGTGGTCAGGCCTCAGGCTGAGAAGTGACCACCCCACAGCCCACCGCGTCTTCCCTTCTCCTAGTGCGTCCAGCACGGGCTCAGGTGCCAACGCTGGGACCATCGATAGGTCAGTGGGCAGGTGTGCCTACGTCCCCTGGCCCCACGGGGGAGCTGTCTTCCCACCCACTGGCCCTGGCCCTCCTCCAGGAGAGAACGGAAAATGAAATCGGTTTAAAAGCAAACATTTATAAACAACGGAAAAAAAATGTGGCAGAGGACAGCAAAAATTTTCAGACCCTGTTGGCTCTTGTCCAAAAGGAAAAGCGATTCTCTCCTGCTTTGTTCTCTCCCCAACCTCATTCCAGGGGCGACCAGTAAAGACGTGGGGGTGGGGACTAAGCCGGAGAACCCCAAGAGGCAGAGTGTGCACCCAGCCAGGTGCGGATCGGAAGGCAGCATGAGTGCCCAGGCTCGGGTGGAAGGCCGCCGGCCGCCAACCGCCACCCGGCACCACGGGCCCCTCCCGCACCGCGGTCGGAGGGCAGAACCGTGTCCGCGCTGTGCGGGGCAGGGGGCGTGGTCTCTACGCTCAGGGACAAGTCTACAAAGCCCCTGTTGACCCCCAAACTCTGTCCCTTACTGCCATCTCCGATGGGGCTGCCTGTCTGCTGGCCATCCCCGGCTCCCGAGGCTTATCTGCTGCTCAACGCGCGTTTTATTGAGGAGAATTCAGTGGAACACCATCTGGAGAGGAGACGGTGCGTGGGGACGTGTCCTCTCGGTAAGACAGAGGACCCGCTCCTCCTGTGTGCGAGACGTCTGGGACTGGGGTCGCACTGCGGCCTCCGAGAGCAACCCGCAAGTGTTTGGACAGGGAGCAACACACGGCTGCAAGATGAAAGGCACGTGTCTGTGAGAGAGGTTTGGGAAATATTACGACAGTGTCCACCAGCTTCTGTCCACGGGGCCTCCAAACGCTTTGCAAAACTGGCCGCCGCATGTTACGCAAGACACGTGGAGAAACATTTCTTCACGGCGTCCCTAGGGAGGAAAAAATGCAAAGGTTAATGGGAGATGGTCGCCCAAGGCTCCTGCAAGTGGCGAAGGCCCCTGTCACGTCCCTGGCGCCCAGAGTGGCTGCCGAGCCGGGAGCACCGCCGGGGGTCAGACCTCAGCGCCGACCCCTCTGCGCGGCATCGTCCTGGGCAGGTCGCCTGTCTTATCTGAGCTGCCCATTTCTCATCTGTAAAAGGGGAGGTCCCCGCGCCCCCTACAGAGCAGCTGTGGGACATGCTGCGTGCAGCGGGGTAGGTCTTTACTGAAATGACAGCGACTGTGATCGTCACAGGAAAAGACAGAAAGAAAACAGAGACTATCAGAAACCACGGGATGAGGACTGGGCACTTTTTGATCAACCAGAATCACAGAACGCACTGAACGCGTGGGCCTTTCTCACTCTGAGCAAGCAGAGAGGCGCCCAGGGACACTGTGTCTTCATAAATGGTTTTAAAATGGTCCCGCCCCTGGGATTCTGCAGGAACACAGCATGAACTTAGATCCCAGGAGGGACGTCGTCCAGGGGTCCCCCGGCACCAGGAGCTGTCCAGCACCGAGCTCAGCCCCGCGCTCCATCAGCCCTGTCCCAGGTACCTGCTCCTGGGGCTTTGGTGCCGGGCGTGCAGGGAACCACTGTGCTCCACAGGTGAGTCTCCTACGGAAGCAGCACGTCCACCTCCACCAGCACGTGGCTGTGGACTGGGGCTCTCACCCCGGCTGAGTCCCGCTGAGCCCTCGGCTGCACTCAGGCCCAGGGCACTGAGTGAATGCACGCCCACGAATGGGCGCCACACTCTATTATCAAGGCGATTCTAGGACAGCCCTTCTTAAGATGGGCTTGTCCTGCACAAGAAAGGGTTTTAGGGACAAACGAGGCCCGTTGCAGCAGCTCACGGTACACGTGTCAGAGGATCTGGGAAGCCAGAGCCTAGCCACAAAGCCACCCAGCTGCCGTGAACACGACGGGCTCGGCAACTTCCCAGCATCTAAAAGCCACTGTCGGCGACAGCCTTGAAATGGCGACACGAGCCCCTCCTCCTCCTCAGCTCAAGCACCGCTTCTCATCCTCAGCACAGATAAGGAACAGCTTCTCGTTAGCTGTTCCTTAGGTAGACAGAGAAGAGGGGACGTCAAATGGTGACGTCAGAACAGAGGCAAGGGCCAAGATCACTGAACGTGTTGACTGACGGAGGGCTGGCATGGCAGGACCTCGGCGCTGGGCGGGGCCAACCCCGTCATCCACCAGTCCTCGGAGGCCAGAGGGGTCGGGCGCGCTGCCCAAGGTCACACTGCTAAGTGGGAAACCCGGGCCTGCCTACTTCCCCTTCATAACCGCTTTTCGGAAACGTTCCCATGGGTGGGACACAGCAGGAAAGCGGGAATGAACGCATCCGGTCCCTCCGTCTCGTGCTCAGTGATACTGAAGTGGTATCGTTCGCCTTTGAGAAAATCTCCCCGAAGCTACCGGCTGAACCGGTGACGCTGTGCATATACGTACCGTGCATCACGACACCGCAAACTGGTGGGCCTGGGCCAAAGCCCTTCACTGGCTGGGTAATGGGGCCGCGGGGGACCCCGGCTTACTAAGCTACAGAATTCGTAGATAACATCTGCCCATTTGTCTCAAAGGATCTTGGTAAAGATAAAATAACACACACTTCCTAAGAGCACTCTACACTACAGGCACTGGGCAAACATCGCCGCCCCCAGATGACAAGTCAGTCTCAAGCTCAGTCAGTCTTACCTTGCGAATGGGATGAAGGAGAGGCTGTACCTACAACGAGAAACAACAGCAAGGGTCAAATCAGGGGAAGGAGTGGAGGAGACACAGTGGGAGGCTTCTGAGCTGCAGAGGCGTCTGCAGTGGTTCGGTGGGGCCTCCCCCAGGGTGGAGGGTGCACACACACACGCGTGTGTACACACACACACGCATGCACACACACACACGCGTGCACACGCACACGCACAGAGCGCCACAGTTTAACTGGGAGGGCAGGGGAGTGTCATCTGTGGCCAGAGGAGGGTAACACGGCCAGGTAGGGACAACTGCTGTCACCTCAGGCTCATGGGGTCACTGCTTTAACCAGAGGAGCCAGAGAATCACCCCAAACAGACAGAATCCACACCGGTGGTCCTGGAATTTTTTACAAATCGTGCGCTGCACATAACTCCCACCCAATGGGGATACGTGTTCTTTTCTGCTATTACCGATTAAAAAAAAAAAGAAAAAAAATGAAACCCAAAAACCAAATATTCTACAAAAGAAAACGCAAGCAAGCTAAGATTCTGCAAGACCCCCAGCCCACCAATATCTTGGTGACCCCAGTCCGCCCAGGCCCCGCCTAGAAGGGAGCCACGCGGGACGGGCCGTCCCCAACCCCAGGGACCGGGCAGGGTGTGTCCAGGCAAAGCACACACCGTGGGGACCGTCAGCGTCGAGGGCACAGCGCTATCCGCCCGAGTGCGCGCGATGCCGGACCTCGGGAAACCGGCTTCGAGACCCGGCTGCGGTCGCCCCCCTTGTCCGCCTTCCGCCCTCACAGCGACCTGTGGGCAACCACGGTCTGAAAACCGTGACATGGAAGATTCCACAAAGAAGCAATTGCGAAGTCGTAAAGCGCGGGCCGTCCTGGGCAGCGAGATGAAACGTCCCGCTGTCCCGCTCCGTCCCACGTGGGACATGAATCGTCTCTTTGCCCAGGGTCTCCACGCCGGTGACACCTCTGCCCAACAGTCACTTAGCTATGGGCGCGACCGTCAGGGAGCCGCAGTGCTTGGCTTCCAGTCAGCCTTGTTTCACGTATCAATGGCCCCAAAGCGCTTCCATGAAGCGAAGCTGGGAAAGTTCTCGGCACAGCAAGGCCTTTACCATCCCACGTCACCGCGAGGAGGGTGAATGCAGTCCAGCAAGGCGTTTGAGAGGGACCGCATGCACGTAACCCTGGTTAGTGTTCTCATAACGGTTCTAGTTTAAGTTACTGCTGCTAATCTTGGTTACTGTGCCTGCCCCACCAACCGAACTAGAATCACAGGCGTGTGCGTGCGTGCGTGCGTGTGTGTGTGTGAAAAGGCACCGGGATCAGAGGGTTCGGTGCTTTCCACGGTCCGGGGGTCTTGGAACGTGTCCCCATGGATAAGGGGGGACGACTGGAGAAGCAAAGAAAAGCATGTGTATGTGGGTACAAATTTCTGCCCCCGGAAAACAAAATTATAAACGGAAGCCACCACGCCAGGCCCTTTCAGGACCTACTACCAAACGTGTGTCATGAAGTCGGCCCATTGGTCCTCGCTGTGCTCAGCGTGCAGCCTCAAGATCCACTTCTAACAAAGAAGGGTATAACTGGTCTCCAGATGCCTTAAAACGTTCACGGTCCTCCTCTCTTTGCATTAAAGCAAACTTTTTTTTTCTAACTCAGTCACATCTCCACGGAAACTGTTCCGGCAGACATCATCGCCTGACAGACTCGGCGAGTACTACAGACGTGTCTCAGAAGCTACAGATCCTACACCCGCCACCGCCCCCCTCTCCGATGCTGCAACAGTTTGAAAGGGCCGGGAACCTACAGCCCCACCGTGGTTTCAAACGCTCGTGTCTCCAGCAGCCCTTCCGCTCTGCTCGGCCCCCGAGTTACAGCTCCCCGATCCTGCCCGCGGGCCTCAGCGCCTGCGCTGATCCTGCAGCCAGCGGCCATGTGGCTTCCACTTCGCCGCTGTTCCCCATCTCCACTGACAGGTCACTCTGTCCTTCTGTTGGAGGGTTCAGTCCGTGACAAACGTGATGCTCATTATTTTTTTCTACCACTGTCCTTTCTCTTTGACGTCTCTGCCTCTGACCAGCGGCTGTAACGCTGCGTCGTCCTTGCTCTTACTGGGTGGAAGAGGTTCCATGACACTGACGTCATCCCAAAGTCACCCACGAGCCCGGCGAAAATGCTGCGGCGGGCAAACGGCCTCCCGAGGCCACTGAGGGCCACTCGCGGCATCGACGGGCAGCGGGCCGAGGCGCGGGCTTTTGCCCTGGAGCCCGGCTTTACCCGTGTCACCAAGAATTGCGCAACGGAATGGATTCTGTTTCCCTAACCCTCCTGCCGGCCCCACGTGGGATTTGAGGCTTTCGGCTGCATTCATCAGAGATCGACGTGGGCGGGACTGTTTAAAAGGTCACTTACCACGTCAGGGCCAGGGACTGCAAAATGCAGAAGATGAGTGCGAGCCCCTTGTTATGCCACTGGAAGAAACAAACGACACAGTTCTGTGAACGGGAGTGACGAGCGCGCAAACCGAAAAGGTTACGGAAAACTAAAACACACACTTACCCAAAAGGCAGAACACAGGGTGAGTGCGAAACACAGCTAGAGAGAGAAGAGACACGTTACTGAATTGATGACAATGACAACATGGAAAAAAAGCCGTAAAGACCTCTTATCGTTCTCGGCAAACTTACACCGACACTTATCAAGCTGCAGTCATCGGACGCTGTGACCATCACGGCAGCCACACGCAGCCTTCCTTTCAAAGCATTGCACCCACCTGAGCTCGTGTTTGACAGAGTTAGAATCCCAGGGAAGTTAAACGGGCCAGTAAGAATTCGTGTCGATTAAAGAGGGAAGGATCCTCTTCTACTTTCAAATCCTCCCGCAATCTCTGTCCAGCAAACAAAATCGCATTTCTGGTCCGTCCATCCTTCCACTCACACATACCAAGGACAGGTTCCACACACACACCGCTGTACGTAACTCCTGCCAAACACTAGTCTGGGGAGGAGAAAGGGCCATGCGGGGAAGAGGTGAACACGAGACGTCACTGTCACAGTCAGCAAGTCAGCTATTTGTTTACATGCCACCCAGCACTTCCCTGGCTCCCTTCTTAGAAAGTTCTTTCTACGAGAGCCTTGTTTTTGTCTTGTCCAGGCCGCCGTCTCTGGGTGGGACGGGCTAAGGCCACTGTGCTCAAGCTGCCGTCACGCCTGTCATCTCTTCCTGTGACAGTAACTTCTCGAGAAATGTGTCCTAACTATTTGCTTTCAGAGCCCGGTGCTTCGAAAAGACACCAAATAAACAGCAAACGTGGACATGGCCTTAGAGAACTTACTTACTTGAACACATGGGACTAAAAAGTATGCTGACCAAGCTCCAAGTGTCGCAATATTGAAAATTACAATAAAGGGACAGGGGATGTGGTCGGAATGATTTTGATGGTCACACGGACGAGAATGGCCCAAGGGAAGGAGGGTCATTCCGGGTTAACGGGACGGGGAGACACGACAGACAGACTGAAGGGAAGCGGGTGACAGGCCACGAGGAGACCAGACCCTCCTCAGAAACACCGATGAAAACAGGATCCCAAAGTCAGAGAACGGAGGGGGAAGAGCCCACCCGAGGAGACTGGACCCCCTTAGAGAGTGAACCCCGTGTTTCCGCGTTCCTACCCCGAGGTCAAGAAGACCAGACCCTCCTCAGAAACACCGATGAAATCAGGATCCCAAAGTCAGAGAACGGAGGGGGAACAGCCCACCCTAGGAGACTGGACCCCCTCAGACAGTGAACCCCATGTTTCCGCGTTCCTCCTCCCAGGTCTGCCTGGGTGTAGCCTTGCCTGTCACCCTCTGGGGGACCCAGCTCCCTCCCGCC